ACTGTGAAAAACATACTTTGATAGAACAAAATACTCTGAAGTTAAATAAATAATGGCAAGAGAGTGCTTTTCATCAAGCTTTACTGCTTTATTTATAGGTGTATTTGTCATTTCCACTGTTCCTTGAGAAATAATGTGAAATAAGTGAAATGAAGTAAATGTGTCTTTATTGTATTCTCCATTTATTCTTTAAGCTATTATTATCATCTATCATCTCGTAGAGTTTGGCTAGTTAAAGGTTTAGTCAGTGCCTTTCTTTAGAATTTACCTTGTAACATTTTTAGGTGATCATATAGGACAATGTTGATAACAGCTAAAAGTGACAAAAACAGTAAAATGGTCAACCAAAGGACTGAGATAAACACTTATGAAGGGAGGGTTAGTGGTTAAAAGAGAAAAAAAATAAAAGGTCCCAAAACCCAGTCCCTTAGCTGGCTTGAAAGAGCAAAGAAAATAGAAAACATAGGATAGAGAAAGCTTCTTGTGCAGTCACTGTTGGTACTGTTTCCTGCTTCCTGCTCAATGTCAAACATAGATCCCAGTAAAACGTTAAGCAGTTGGTCCGGGATTTCATCAGGAGTGCACTGTAACTGATTATATAAAAATCAACAGACTGTTTACATTTATCAAAAAGCTTTCTTTGGTCCTAAAAGTTGTATAATTTCTCTTATCACAACTTTCATTAATTTTATATTACCTTTTATTTTTCCCTTTGAACTTAACATTTGGGAATAAGTACCTTGGTGACAGTAATTGCAACTACAAACCATATTTCTTTCTAAACTTAACTAATCTGGGCTTGCATAAAATGAATGAAAAATTGGAGCTCCTCTGATCTGTAATACATTTTTGTGGATGTTACTTTCTTTGTGTCTTGTCATATATTCCAAATAGGTGTTGAAGTCTCACAATGGTTTTGTAATGGAAATACAGTGTCCTACACTACAAGCCAATGCATAATTAAGAAAGAGCAAATAATAAAAGATATGGACCAAGACAGTATGTCTTTGTAAAATTAACCAAAATTTGCACAAAATCACAAATGTCAAGCAACTACTACATTTACAGAAGCAGATTCATTCCTCTCTTAGAAATTTAGAAACTCTTTCTAACAATCCTTAATGATCTGATGCTTATACTATATGCAGGACACACTCTTCTAATCATCCGGAACTTAAGATTTCGTTTGATGTTTATGTCAACACAAAAGTTTGACTGTTCTAAAATTAAATCAGTCCACAAGCTTCTTAAAAACCTGTTTCTTTAAACAGTTTGTCACAGATGAGAGTAATTTACTGGAATTAAAAAATACATATACATATAGGAAGAGATCTGTGGTTTGTGTGTCAAGGTAACACTGTAAGCATATTGAAAAATCAACATATTTTTTCTGTTTTTTTCTTTCCCTAATTCTGAGCACTGGCTGTATTGTATTAAGTATAGATACATGGATTTGCTTCTCGCTTTCTTTCTGAATTGGAAGGGGAGACATAACAAAAGTCCACTAGTGATTAAGTTGGTTTTCCACAGTGTAAATTTAAATTGAAGCCATCTTTAAAAGCAAATAGCTTTATTAAACTAAGAACAAAATAATTCAGATGCAATAGTGATGATTTTTTTAAATTAATTTTATATCTGCTTCAAAAATTGTTTTCCTTCATATTAAGTGAGTACTTCATAGAATCATAGAATACACTGAGTTGGAAGGGAGCCGTCAGGATCATCGAGTCCAACTCCTGACAGCCTGAAGAGTCACACCATTGTCCAAATGCTTCTTGAACTGTGTTAGGCTTGGTGCTGTGACTACTTCCCTGGGGAACTGTTTCCAGTGCCCAACCACCCTCTGGATGAAGAACCTTTTCCTGATATCTATCCTAAACTTTCCCTGACTCAGCTTCAGGCCATTGCCTCGAGTCCTGTCACTGGTCACAAGAATGAATAGATCAGTGCCTGCCCCTCTGCTTCCCATCATGAGGATGTTGAAGACCATAATGAGATCTCCCCTCAATCTCCTCCAGGCCGAACACACCAAGTGACCAAGCCACTCCTCATATGGCTTTCCCTCAAGGCCCTTCACCATCTTCATTGACCTCCTTTGGACACTCTCTAATGGCTTAATATCTTACTTATATTGCAATGCCCAAAACTGTCACAATATTCAAGGTGAGGCCACACCAGTGCAGAGCAGAGCAGGAAAATCCCCTCCTTCGACTGGCTGGTGATGCTTTGCCTGATGCCCCCCAGGACACAGTTGGCCCTCCTGGCTGCCAGGGCACTGCTCAGTCATATTCAACTTGCCATGGACCAGGACCCCCAGGTCCCTTCCTGTAGCACTGTTTTCCAGCCTCTTGTTCTCCAGTCTATATACACAACCAGGGTTACCCCATCTCAGGTTGTAGGCACATGGCACTATAACCTGTGGAATATCCAGAATAAAACAATACTTTATTAAATTCAATATAATATTTAGTTAAAGCAACTAGTTTCTTCATGTTTTGACTTTTATTCATACATATTTTATACAAGTATAACAAGTTTTGTGTCCAGCTGAAAAGACATGCCTTGATTTCCTGACCCAAGAGGAATTCATCAGCACGCGTTATTTCTAACAAATACTCTGTCTTTCTGCTCTATACCCTGGCTTCTTATCAGCTAAGTAATACTGAGTTTCAGTACTTATTTTCCTGATGTCCTAGGCCTGTACCTTGAATATCTGAAACAGCAATAGCCAACATTTTGTCTACAGTGGGCTACACAGGCTTTTAAAGGATTCATCAGTGGTGGTGAACTTTCGTTTGGATTCTCCTTCCATGTTACCCCCATGATCTGCTGGGGCTTCCTAGGCCTACTAGATGTCTAAACACAGGTTTTATTCCTGTGCCTTTTACATAATAGACTGGCATCCAGCCTTGTGACAGGATATACATGCTGTGACCTCCTGTGCCATGCATATTTCCATCACATGGCAGACATGCATTTGCCACACTGGCATTTACTGTGCTGGTGCAGGTACCTGCTTCCATCAAGGGACATGTGCTGCAGCACCCTCACACAGGAGTGAGGCTACTCAAGCCCTGCAATTTTCACCTCTCAGAACAAGCAGAAAGTAGCCAACTTAGTTATCTGTTAAGCTTAGATTTTTGTCTGTGACCCACTAATTGAGACCCTGCATGACATCCTGCAAGGAGTGAAGGGGTGTTGGGGAGTGAGATGCTCTATGTTGCCATCAAATTTGAAGACAAAGACCCCAAATACTGCTCGATGCATGGCTTGGGTCAGGGATGACCCAATGGAGGCAAGACCTGCATGATCACTTTCCTGAGATGACAAATTGGTTGTTGAAACCTCCCAGGAAATAGTCTGCAATGACACTGTGGTTAGTGAGGCTTTAGTGAAAACATTTTTTCTAACTTCCTAACACTTGGTCATATAAAATTACTTTGAAATAGGAATTAAAATCATAGAATGGCCTGGGTTGGAAGGGACCTTAAAGATCGTCTGGTTCCAGACCCCCTGCCATGGGCAGGTACATCTTTGCACTAGACCAGATTGCTCAGAGCTCCATCCAGCCTGGCCTTGAACACACAGGGGTGGGGTATCCACAACTTCTCTGGCCCACCTGTTCTGGTGCCTCACAACCTTCACAGTTCTGTGTATAACTGTACAGAAATGAGTTCTGTAAATTTGCCTTACCTGAGGTGTTTCTACTGTATTTGACACCAGAAAAGGGAGTGTCGTTTTGTACACTTGTTGTTTGTGAGACAAGGAGCAGTTTTTATTCAGGTGAACTAGTTCAGAACTAGTGATTTTACTCACATAATGTTCAAAATCATTGTATGGAAAGAATTTCTTTTTTGTTAATAGTGAAGTTGGATAAGGAATCCTAAATTTCAGTTTCTACAGTTTTATGTTTCTGCACTTAGGCATGTCTTACACTGTTACAAACAGGTGTTTCTTTGATTAGAACAGTTTTGTAGTAAACTGTACAGAGTCTGCAGCCAGTTGATACACTTTGTACAAAGTGTACCTCTATATTTTGTGTCTCATACTGCCATCTAAGGGCCACGTAGACTGAGAAGGTTGCTAAACGTTCTTCAATACTTTCTCCTTACTGCCCTTCTGTTTAGGAAGACAGAAATTCATGGATGAGAAAGGTGGGCAGGGAATAACAGCAGTCCTTTGATGCAATATATTGTTTCATCTAAAAGGACAGAGGAATCTCCCAGATAAGTGATAAATTGGAATGTAAATCTCAGTCATCTAGAAAACTGCAGTTGCAATGAGCTTATGTAAAGGCCCATGAATAAGGAAGTAAGATTACAGGATTTGATGCTACCCCTGAAACAGCAAGTTGAGGAATGTAGTGCTTATGTAGGCCTGATGAGTTTCAGCTGAAACTCAGCATTGAGAGAGCATGCAGTTTAGATTCTTAAAGGTACCAAAGTCTTTAACTCCTACTGATTTAAGGATTAGTGCTTTGTAATACAATTTTCTTACTAAGATTTTCCCTAAAAAGGTACAAAATTGCATGAATTATTTTCTTCTTTTTTCCTAATAACTGGTTTTGCATTTCTACATGGTTTGATTTTCCTGGACTAAGGGAAAATGGGCAAAAATTTGGTGTTACTGTAAGAGTATGTAATATTAAATAGCGTTAACACAATTTAAATATTTTGGGGTTTAAGCATTCAAAGTTTTCTTATGAAAACTTATCTTTCCAGGATAAAATGCATTTTTATTTTTTTAATCTACAAACTGTATTTGTGTGGGCTTAATTCTGTAGCTCCTTTCTCATAAGATGTTTTCAACTACAAGTGCGATAAAGAATTTCAGTATTTGTCAATATCATACTATTGGCATTGACTAACAAAAGCAGTTTCTATAATGAGGACCCCTTTGACCATGACTTTATTTTACAATGTATGAATTGCTTTTCAGGCTAGTTTCCAGCAAACCCTGTGTAATAGAGAAAGTAATTATCTTGCATGTTACTTTGACAGGCTCATGCAAGCAAAGACCTGGAAGAGCAGTTGCGGTCTGTGTCCAGTGTGGATGAACTCATGACAGTACTTTACCCAGAATACTGGAAAATGTTCAAATGTCAGTTGAGGAAAGGAGGTTGGCAACACAACAGGGAACACTCCAGCTTTGACACAAGATCAGATGATTCCCTGAAATTTGCCGCAGCACACTATAATGCAGAGATCCTGAAAAGTAAGTACAGGACACAAACCATGTTCCAACACACAATAAATTAAATTCTGAAGGCTTTTCAGTTGTGTCAAAAACGTTTTAAAAGCTAACCATTGTCAGTAAACCAACCTCAGCAGCCTGATTTGATGTGTTGTCTATAATATAAAATCTTTGATAGTCCACATTCCATAATGAAACAAATCGCTCTGTAGACATATTTTAGGTACATCCATTGTGAGAAAGTTGCTTTCTCAGCTCAGTAGATAGAGAAAGTACCTTCAGATATAAGAAATCCTACTTTGTGGAGGCTGTAAAATTTTGCAGAAGGCAAAAGGGATTCTAATAGTTGGAGTCATTGAACTGTTTCTGCGCATTTTTTGCAATTACATCATGGCTTAGTAATGCTTTCTTCTCTTAAGCATTATGGCTTTAGGATGCCAAGTAATCCACTTGTAACTTTTCCCTGTTAAAAGAGGGCAGCTGTCATGATGAGAAAAATGAGAAAGAAAGGGCTTTCAACCCAATATGTCAATATCCTTTAATGTTTCAGATTGCTTGGATAAAAATATATTAACAGTTTAAACAAGTGCTTGTAGGCAGAGAAATGTAGGACTTATAGCAGAAGGTGTATTTTTTTACATGATATTGGATATCATATATCTTAATGGAGACATTAAAGTACACATCAGGCAAATTTTCCATTTCTGGTGAACAGCCTACCATAATCTGGTGCCAAAAGAGAATAAAGGGTCCTGCACAGCTGCAAGTCTCAGGACTTTCAATATAATATTGTATTTGGTAAAAGGCTGTATAACATGATGTAAAATCTTTGCCTAAAATTGTGTGGATAATCTGGGCACAAGTATCATGCTTCAGATTAAATCATATGTTGTATATAATTGCTAAATAATAACCTTTTGCTTTAAATATTACCCTTGTAGTTAACAAACTAAACATGTATTTAAATTAATTTCACATTAAGTGTGTAAAATTTAACATTTCTATTGTAGAGTATTTAAGTGAAATACTTAAAAAAATTAGTTTGAAGAGATGTGCAATACTTCTTTAGACTTTACCCAAGATAAAACTTACCCCAGGCAAACGAGAAAGGACATGTACAGCTTGAGCTGCTGACCAACAGGTCGAGGGAGGTGATTCTGCCCCTCTGCTCTGTTCTGGTGAGACCCCATCTGGAGTACTGTGTCCAGCTTGGGGACCTCCAACATAAGAAGGATGTGGACCTGTTGTAGTAGGTCCAGAGGAGGGCTGTGAAGATGCTCAGAGGGCTGGAGCAGCTCTCCTGTGGTGATAGGCTGAGAGAAGCAGCCTTATAGCAGCCTTCCAGTACCTAAAGGGGGTCTGTGAGAAAGATGGGGAGAGATGTCTTGTAGCAGGGCCTCTTGTGATAGAGTAATGGTAATAATTTTAAGCTAAAAGAACTCAGATTCAGACTAGATATAAGGAAGACTTTTTTTTACAATGAGGGTAGTGAAACATTGGAACAGGTTGTCTGGAGAGGTGGTAGATGCTCTATCCCTGGAAACATTCAAGGTCATTCAAGTTTGAACAGGGCTCCGAGCAACCTGATCTGGTTAAAGATGTTCCTGCTCATTACAAGGGGGCTTTACTAGATGACTTTTAAAGGTGTTTTCCAACAAAAGCCATTCTATGATTCTGTATTTTAAGGTCTCCCTGTTAGGGTCCCTCTTAGCTCACAGCAAAAGCTGTGACTTTTCTTTTGCTGCATGTCAATATGTCATGTTCCTATGAAGAAGAAAAATCAGGTAGAAGTTTACACAGAGAGATGTGTATTTCGCTGACTATGGGGTGTGACTAGCAATGGATATTATGGTTCCAAAGTTTAAAAAGAATCCTAATTTACTTCAGGAGAGTATTGTTTTTAAACAGTTACTTTATAACACATGACATTCCCTATAACTTGGCAGGTATTGATACTGAATGGAGAAAAACTCAGTGCATGCCACGTGAAGTGTGTGTGGATGTGGGAAAAGAGTTTGGAGCAACTACAAACACCTTCTTTAAACCCCCATGTGTATCCATCTACAGATGTGGAGGTTGCTGCAATAGTGAAGGACTCCAGTGTATGAACATCAGCACAAATTACATCAGCAAGACAGTAAGTTCTCACTCTTTTATTACAGTCCAAGTACTCCTTGCAAATCCATATATGATCATGCTTATTTTAAACCTTATTACTACTATGACAAAGGAAAATATATCAGCTGTTTTCAGCTGGTTTTCATATGTATTTTCCAGACTAAACAGGAAAAACAGCTGAAGACTACTGCCTGGAAAAAAATGTTTAACACTCTTTTCCCCAAAATATATTATTATTTTTAAGGAAAAAATAAATTGTGATGTCCAGTTCTCAGTTTTGAGATTACCCATGAAACTTAATTCTGTCCCTTTCTTTTTTTTGCATCTACCACTTACCTGTATGAGGCAAGCACTCTATGGAAAACTACCCTATAATTTTATTAGTGTGGACTGTTGTAGGACATGTGCAGACAGGATACGTTGCAAATAAAGCCTATTAGGAACTGAGTTTTACTGTATTAAGAGATATTAGCATCAGGTACCTATTTGTTTTGTTGTAATGCATCTTCCTCCAGGTGTATATGTGGGTTTTATTCTTCCAGTTCAGGGCTAGTGGTCAGGTGTAGAGATCATGCACTGAGCTTGTGAGCTGCCTTTAAAGGAGAAGCATATATTACATTATTTTCAGTAGCTATAGGAATTATCACAGTTATCTTACAACAACATTTTCCTCAAAAAACGTGTAAAAATAATCACACCTAAAAGTGTTTGCTAGGGTATTTTGCTGTTGTTACGGTATTTGGTAGGGGGCTTGTTGTTTGTGGGTTTTTCACTTTTTAGTGTAAATCTTGCTTCCTCTTTCAACTAGATTCATCTGGCTGAAGATGCAGTACATATTTATAATGAAGATCCAGAATTGCATAGCCAGCTATAATATCATAGCTCTTGGAAATGTCACTCCTTTATCATGAAACTTTTTAGTGCTCTGAGGCTTCTTGAGAGGGAATTAGGAAAAAGGGACATAAAGAAAACAGAAAGAACTACTCATTTTTTTAAATGTATTTTCTGCCTTCATTTCTCATCAATCTATTTGTCTGAAATGGTATATTTTACCATGAATTTTCAATCCCAAATTTAAGCTAGTGGTAGGCAACCGTACAGCACAGGAATAACGTAACTCAAATAGCTTAGAGAAGGAAAACTACAATACTGACTTTTCTCAAGCCCTGTTGTTTTTCCCATTAATAGGAGAAACTGTTGTCTTAATTTGTTTAAGTTACTTTAAGATGCAATTAATTCCTAAGTTACTTTAAGACACAAATATAATTCTCATGTTAAAACCCAAGAAATATGATCTTTTTTTTTTTACATGTATTGATGAAGTTTAGCTTACTGAAACAAAGGATGATCTAGTCACAGAGAGAGTTGTTCCATGTAACACAGATTTCCTAGTCTTTGAGCACCATGTCAGTTTGGGGTAAATAATATCTTTCTCTTCATCTTTCTGTTCGTGTCTGTTGAATAAAGTAGGTTTCTATCTAGTAGAAAATGTTTAGTAGTGACTTTCCTTTTAAAGTTCTTGATGTTATTGGTAATGGTACGATGTAGTTCTAGTTAAAGATTTGAGAGACTCTGAAAAGGAAAATCTTAAAGGTTTTATCACAAAGAAGAAAGAGGAAATAACATTGTTTTATTTTCTTACCTATCCTGAAAAAACAAGTGATTTAATCTCTGAGTTTCTATCTTGCTTCTGCTTTCCAGTTTTATCTTGTCCTTGACAGAATGCAGTTTAGAAAAACCCTTAATAAAGGAAGAGACCTATAGCTATATCTCTTCATCTTTCACCATCTCAAATAGTTTTAAAATTATGTGACCACAGCTTACCCTATATTAGATGAGAATTAGGAAGAAAAAACTATTGGATTCAAGACCTTCTGTGGAATTCAGGTACCCTTCACATCTATTTTCACTGCTGTTTCTCTATTATTTCCTGAATGAAATGGGAACAAATGATTAATAACCAGGAATCTTTGTTTCATAATTCACCATTTTTAGCTTTATTTTTGGTGCATAAACTTCATAAGATAACTTCATAATGTTCACCCTGCAGAAAAAGTGCTTAATGGGAAATTAATTTTTCAGCTGGAGGTCTTACTGTGAGGGCAAACTCTAGCATTAGTTCCAGACATTAAAGTATAAAGAAAGCTGATATCAGCTTTCATCAAAATTAATTAAAAATAAAAGAACTAAGCATAATAATAATTTTAAGTGTGCTGATGCAATGGATATTGGCACATATGATGGTGGTGTTGAATAAATTAATTTAGCCACTGAAGCAAAGAAATAGTCTGTATAACAATAAACAGTTTTTCTGGAAAGTGTAGCACAAAGTCCTAGTCTAAAGAAGAAGCTATCAATGCAGTGAATCAAAACTACACACCTTTTGGGGCTTTTAGATTTCTATTTCAGGACTTCTAATAGCGCTTTTGGTCACACACTCAGAGATTCCTGTCTTCTGTTAGATTTTTTCTTTTTTTTTCTTTTTTTTTTTGTTTTTTTTAAATTTTAAAGTCAGGCTGTTGTCCTACCCTTGTGTCTGTTCTTCACTCCATCTGTATAAATGGTTAAAAGAAGAGCACTACCAGTGTAGAAACTGATAAAAGCCTACTACAGGGTGGTCCATGGGACCACACAGCTCTGGCCTAGAAGCTCTTGCAAGGATGTCTGAAGAAATGACAAGGTGGGAAAGAAGGGGAACTGGTGGATTTGGCGTCACAGTAGTTGCTGGTTGCAGAATGTCAATGGCCAAGTCTGGCTGGGTGGAGTAATTCAGAGACACCTTTGCCTGGTATCCTCTTATTGTGTTTCTCACCTGAGAATTACGTTACAGAACATGTATACTGATCTTCAAGGATTTAAAAAAACTGACATGTAAAAAAATGAAAATCCAGGGGGAAAGTGGTTTGTTTGGGTTTTTTTGATGACTAAAATGCATGATAACTTGAAGCTGAACAAAAACCTCATGCAGTGTCAGATCTAGGCACCGAAATACCATCTTACAGGGAGAGCCTGTTACTGATACACCCACCTATATCTTGTTGGGAAGGAATGAGGGAACCTTCTTGATCCAGAATTAGTGGGGACAAGATGTATGGATGCCAGAATGCTAAAAGTCATGCTAGGGATCCCAAGAAGAGGGAAGGGAAATCAAGTTTTGTGTGCTGGCTGAAAGGGAAGCTTCATTTAGGCTTAAATGAGGGAAGGTTGTCGTGGAGAATTATCAAATTGTATGAAGACCTAAGGAGACAAGGGCTGAACACAGTACTTTGAAGAGAAATATTAGAAACAGTGAGAAAGACTGGAAGATCTTTCATCTGACTTTCTGTGGTCAGATGGCTGAATGGCAGGAGAAATGCACTAACTATTTATGATTTTTACCTGTTCTTCGGTTACGCAGAGCTTTCAATAGTATGTGTTATACACTGAGATTAACTGTGTTACTGAGTCATATTTATGATTTTTAGCTTCTATGGAGCAGTTAGGACAGAGCTTTGTGATTTTGTGTGGTTTCTTTTTTTTTTTTTTTGGTTAGATATAATACTATTTAGTTATGTGATCACATATTGCTTCTGTTCTGCTTTCCCCTGGTTTCCTGATAATGCAGTGTTGGTAGCAAAAAGGTACAGGACAGCGTGGACAGGTTGAGTCTATTTTTTTTTCTTCTGAGTATTTGTCTAACTCAAGCAATACTCATTTAAGGTACTTAATTTGCTGTTTAATGTACCATAATTACTAACATTTTTCTGAAGACTGTAGGCAATAAAAGCTCTCCACTTTGAAAAATTGCCCTAATCCCTAATATTATCAGATCTCATGTTCTTCTGGAAACTGTAACTCATTCTTTGTAGTCTTTCCTGAATGTCTATCTTCAGGCATTGATATCTGTGGGAAATGTCTTTTTCCTTTTGCCTGTCGTGTGAATTAGTTGGATTTTTACTATGATTTGAAGTTGAAAAGGAAGAGAAGATAATACAGTAAAACCAGATGTTTACTGAATGAGGGATCAGCCAGAAATATAAGCCATTTGATCTCCAAGAAAAGTTACCCATTTGGGCAATGTGGGTACCAGCAATAGTAGCCCTAGCCAGCAGTGTTGCCAGAAAAGAAGAGTCGAGAACCAGCCTCATGCATAGATGTTATCCTGAATTTTTCACAGAAATATCCTTTCTAGGTATTGACATTTGGCTGTTACATGTTGTCAACATGCCCTATAGCGACAGCAGATTTTGAGCTTATTATTCTGTTGGATGAGGAAGATAAGCAAAAAATAAATTAGATGTTAGCAAAACCAGGAAGCATTGCACATAGTGAGGTTTTACCTAAACTGAAGATTCAAACACAACTTATGCATACTGAGAGTTATTCACTTACACTTAAACAGCTTCATTGGATTTAGAGATGCTGCTATCTCAACTGAAAGCAGAATATAGATTTTCTATAGAAAGCATCTTATTTTCAAATGCCAGAAATTATTTTAACTGAATTAGTATTAAATACATTTTCTGTAATAGACTACTTTTCAAGAGTTTATTTCTTTTGAAATATCTTCTTGATAAATTTTCATTAGCAGAAGAGGAAAATATCTCTTTTTCCAGTATGCATCAGAATATAATATCCCAATAGCACGTGCAGACAAAAGTGTCAGAAGAACAAACAAATAATTCCAACCCCAGTATTTCACTTCCAACCTTTTCATTAATGAAAATAAATGTATTTTCCATTCTTTATCAAAATGCTAGTTTATGTATTGTCTTAAGCACTTCATGAAAGTCAGGACTAGAAATGGGATACTATATATAATGTAATATCTAATATAAATAGTTGGCTATATATAGTTTTTTGACTTTATGTATGAATAGTAGCAGCTGTTGGGGGATGTAAAATACATTACTATTAAGAGAATTTAGTTGAACAAACTGAAGCTTGATCAATCAGGTCAGGGAAGCTAGTCTGCCTTTAGTAGTTTAACTAGACCTTTTTCTCATTGCACCACTGAGGTGTTGATGGGAGTTGTTAGCAATATTTGTCTGTAAACTGATACCTTTCACAGGTGAAATGGAAGGATAAATGTAAATTAAGACAATTCATGTTCACCATCATGTCCACTCACAATTGATATGTTTCAACCGTTTTTCCAAAATTTCTCTCAGTGATTACTGAAGCTGAACAGGACAGCTGGACAGGGACCTACCTCTTCTAGGTAGTTTGGAAGTGTAGCAATAGTCCTATGTTTCCATCTCCAGTGGTCTGAAGTCTGCTATGCCTTGCAGCATGGCAAACTGATCTACTGCAAGAACAGAGGAAGAACAGAACATCCTCTTTTTTTTTTTTTTAGCTGCAGTTTGGTCCATTTAAAGACTCATGCTTATTATATTTTCTAAGATTTATCAGTTCTTCCTATAGTGAGTTTTTATTTCAGCTTCAGAAAAGCAAGTTCATACTGTCATAAGAGCAAGAAAAACAAGATCCTCTTTTCATGTGCACTGTTGTAATTAAGTTCATATTCTCTGTTCTGTCCTTCAATTCATACATGTCTTCTAAGAATTGGTTTTCTTAGAAGATATTAAATATAATAAAAGCTTTTGCATCTGTAGATTCTTAGCTGTCCAGATTTTCAGAGGTCTCAACAGCTGTACTGTCCTTCAAAAAGCACAGCTTGTTTCAAGAAAGGTAGAAGTCTGGCATATGTAGATGAGCTTTGTCATCTGATTAAAGATCAGTACTTAAAAACATACTCAAAGAACTCAGCATGTATTTTTCTCAAATATATACTGTATCCAGAAAGGAAAGCTATTTTTCATAAACATGGTCCTTTCTGTCTCTTTGTCTACACCACCACCTTCCTCCTTTCCAATTTCCTAGTTTATGCATTAAAACAAAATCTGTGATGGCCTTCAAATAGTTGGATATTTTTTAAAGAAATTAATAAGTACATAAAGCATATTAGTATGAAAATGATAGTTCTGTCTTATGTTTATTGCTCTCCTTGCATGAGGCATCTTAGTAAGAATGTTTTTTGTCATTATTTTAGATGAAATTTTATAATAGATAAGGGTAATGGATCCAATATTGGTTTGAAAGGCAAAAAGGATTATAAATATTATAAAAAGTTGATTAGAAAGTCTCTTTCCAGAGGTCTCTGTTGAACTTAGTGAAAACCTGGAGGTATGTCTGGTGATAATTAGGCATTGATTTTATTGGCACTAAACTTTAAACTAGACATGGACTTCTGTCTTTATCTTATTAATGACTCAAGACCAAAATTTTAAGAAGTGTTACTTATTTTGCAGATGGAACAAGGTGTTAATATGCTTTGTCTAGAAGTCTTTATAATAATGGAAATTCTTTTCATTGTAGTACCCTAGATGGATAGTCTTTTTCACCGGCATTTCAAATATGAAGAAACTATTTTCTCTTTTTATTTTTCTTCTACAGAAGTAAACATAAACCAGTTAGCATTTTTAGCTTCTAGTGAGGGAAAAAACCCAACATTTAAAACTATATAACAGATGTGGTACGTTTTTGCAGAAAAAATAATAGCATTGTCATCTTCTGTAACAGAATAAAATGAAATGTAATAGTTTTGCCATTTCAGTTCTTGTATGGTGACACTCCCAATGTTAAACTTTTTTAAGGATTCAGTCACTAAACGATGTCAAAATCTGTCTTGTAAATTAGATAATATCTATTAGAGTTGATGATGCTTTATACAATTTAAGTTGCATAGTTTAAGTTATCAATAGTATGAGCTTTATTGTTGGCTGCACAAGTGCCCTTTTACTTGGTGAATACATCCCATAATCCTGCACCTGCATACTTGTCACTTGCGTACTTCAGTGCAAGATGCTGTTTTTAGGACATCCTGTAGATGTATTTCATATTTTGAAGCATTTAAAATTACCAGTATTTTTGTTACATTTGCATGCTGCCCATAGGCCATATATAAAGTTATTGATTATAAAAGAGCATTGCAAATAGATCTCAGCTAAAAATTAGAGGCTTGTTATACAGTCTTATCAACCCAAACTGAAATAATAACCAATGACCATGTTTTTAAAGGTAGTAAAGTCCCCAGAAAAGGCAGAACTTTTCTTAAAAATATTTGGAAGAATGACTAAACACCTAAAATGAGCAGTGCAGCTGTGTTCCTGTTTAGAACACTACAAAAAACCAGTTTTTAAGGCTTTGACCTAACGTATTTATCCTAACTTTTCAGGAGACTATTGATAATTGAGTCTTACACTGAAACCTACTCAATTTGAGAAAGTAGATATCCTGAATTGAAAACTGTAATGACTCTCAGTGTTTGTCTGTTATCATATGTTCAGTTTACCACAAGGTATTACTGAAGTTGTCTTTTTACCAATTGAAATATATTTCCCACTAAAATTAGGATTTTATGAATTCACATACATGATTATTTTATCAGTAGTGGTTATTTCTTAATACCTTGAAAACAAATTAATAGTTCAAGATATATTCCCTTATGGTAGACATATAATTTGCAATGATACAAATACTAAAAAATTAAAAAAATACAGTATGCTGCAGTTCTGTAGTTATTGAACCAAAAATGGTTTTATCTAAGTCCAATATATTCCTTTTTTACACAAGCTCTTATAATTGTGTAATTGATGTATTAGGTTGTAACTTACCTGCTTTTTTATGCTATTTTTGGTTTTCAGCTTTTTGAAGCACCTTCCAAATGTTTCACTTTGGATTTTTTTTAAAAGACTGCCATTTTTGAAATCATCTCTTAGAAAAATGAGTTCTTTTTACATTTTACACTTTTATGTTAAATGTTATAGTAAGCAAACAGGCACGTAAGAGAGTTTAATCCTAAAAATGTTTATTGTCATACCATAACTATTGTATTAATTTTGCACGTAATAATTATTTAACAGTATAATTGAATGTGCCACTGAATGGTGGAAGAGAGCAGAAAAATTAACTTAATTTCCTTATGAGTTTTTTGGTGTGTGCTTACATTAGTTTTAGTTGGACCATTACAGATCTATATAAAAAGTTTTTTGCTTTGCTTTCCCTTTTGCAGTTGTTTGAGATCACAGTGCCTCTTTCTCATGGCCCCAAACCCGTAACCGTGAGTTTTGCCAATCACACATCCTGCCGATGCATGTCCAAGCTGGATGTTTACAGACAAGTTCATTCTATCATAAGACGTTCCTTGCCAGCAACACAAACTCAGTAAGTATGAGACTTGTCTTCCCTCTCACATTATGAGCAAGCCTATGTAATTAAATTATAAACAGTGCTGGAAGTTTTTATACACAGTAATAGTAGCAGAATGCATTGTGCAAGGGAGCTACCATATTTTACATTAAGAGAATGTTTACTAAATTAGCATTACCTTTTTATTCAGGAGATAAACTAGAGTGAGATAATTTAAAAATTAATAATAATATTGTTTGCGGGAGTTGTTTGATGGAAAGAACTGCAATCCAGTTGAGACTTGAAGGAAACACCAGCAAAATCAATTTATTTTTTTTAAAAGTAGTCAAGAAAAGCTAAAAATACTTACCTTTGCAAATAAGTAGGAGATCACATTTCTCTGTCAATCCGTTTTTTCCTAGTTAAAATGCTGTTTTTTAAAAAACGCCTATTTTTTACAGAATCTTTAACTACAAATCTTTTGTGACAGTTTCATATGCCAGAGATGAAAATAAAATGGAAAGGGAAAATAAAGGGTTAATTGGCACTCCACAGGATTACCATATAGATTTTTTTTGTGTGATTTTGAATCAAAAAAGCCACAGAAGAAATCTGGCACCAAAACAAGTGTTATTAAAACGCTTGAAGAACTCCTTCCTTCGTTTAGAGGTCTGAGTAATGATTTCATGATGTATACGTATTTAGGAGCCCAAAAATATATAATGGTTGCTTTAAGGAAGAACCAATTAATAGAAACTGAACTAGAATTAATTTTAGACATTTTTAATAAGGTGAGTGAACAGTGCAAACTTCACAGAGATGTTAAGCTAAGTATTTTTTTTCTCTGTGGTTTCACTCAGTTTAAGTCTGGATGTTTTCTGACACGTTCCAGTTAAACTCAGATTGTATTCTATTTGAATACAAATAATTTAATTTGTTCATCAAAACATAGATCATTAACAGTGGATTAGAAATACATTAGGAAATTAATCTATGAATATTTTTTTAAATCACATAATTAGCAGATTATTAAAAAAACACAAACCCAAGAGTCAATAGTAAAGTCAAATTATGCTGACTGTTGCCAGCCTCTTAGTGTTTCCAGGTTAAGAGCTGTTGTTATTACCAGTGCAGGAGTTATTCTAACTAGGAAACAGCTACCTGTAGTTGAGGGAGGTGGGTGTGCAAATACAAGGCTTTGAACAGCACACAGGTACCTGTCTGTTCTGTGAGCAAGGAATCGTGCTTCAACAAAGATAAGACAAACTAATACTAGGTCAGAATAAGTACAGGCTTTCTCTACTGTTCAGTACTATCTCTATGTTTAGAATCTATGGCTTTGTACAATAAAACAGAAAAAAAACCATAAAATGCTAAGTTGAGTGCTTCTAGATTCTAGAAAGGAAAGACATTTGCATGTTCCTGGTGGGTTCCTGGATGGGTTTCAGAATCCCATTATTGTTTTTTAATTTGTAGTGAAGTATTTCTTTTCAACTTATTATTTTTTTCCTTAACATTTTGATCTATATGTTTGAATGCTAGTGAAGCTATTATTAAGCCAAAACTTGGAAATCTACTCTCTTGTCACAGTGGCAGATCTGCATGTGTGCATTTATTTAACAAAAAATATAAATTACTTTCTTATGTATTACTGAAAAGAAAAGCCTAAGAGTGCAGTCTCTGGGTTTAGGGTAGTAACCCTTGGGATTTAGTAAGAATTCAAGACTGGATTATACCAAGATGCACAGGCATATCGTAGAAAGAAGAGAGAGACCACATCTAAAGTATAATACAAATAGTTTATATTTTTTATATAAAATATATTTTCTACATGACTTTATCCTGAGAATTAAGGTCTAGGTCTTTGCCTGTTCTCCCACTTTTTTCCTTTCTTTCCTCCCTTCTAAAAACTAATAGCTGGTTCTATGTACTTGTGGAATGGAGGCATGTCAATTGGTATTACCCAGTGTTTCAGAAGACATCCTGGATTAATGGTATCTTAAGTAGCACTCTACTCCATTTATATGGAATGTCATCAAGACATGCACCTGAGTTACAAAATTGTCACCCTATTTTAGAAGTTTGGTGATTAGAGGTAGGGTGGAACAGAGAGGACTTCAAGATACATAATTCAGATCAAGTCTCTACAATTACCTCTGTCTCAAGACTTTTTTTTTCCAGTTGAGTAGACAATAATACAAAAAGAGGTGATGACGTTTTCTGCAAAGTGGTTTTGCATCTGATTATTTTTTTTCTAGCCTTCCTGAACTTTTCTAAAATGTCGTTTTAAATTTTCAGCCAATTGTCTGTACGAGAAACCAGAGTAGAACTTGTAAATAAGCAGCTCCATTTCTTTTGCTGGATATCTCCAACCCTGATACTGAAATTCATTTAATTCTGTTGAAGTTCTGGTAATTTGGGCTTTGTATCAACCTTACTCATGAATTCACATGCGCTCAGTGTTTTCTTCATACTGTCACCTTGGTTTCCTTCTCTAATTAGTTTTAAACACTCCCAGCTAGAGCCAGGCTGCTCGAGGTATGAGTGAGGGGTTTTTTTTGTTCTTTAATTTTATTTTTTTTAACAGAATAGAGTAATATGTCTGTAAATTATCTTTACTATTTCTCGAGCAGAATCAGGAGGCAGGCTAAAGGAAAAGTGCCAAGTGAGGGAGCAAGAGTGAGAACATTAGTGGAATGAAATCAGAAAACACCAGTTTCATAAAACATGAGGCTATGCAGGGTGATGTTAAATTACAGCAGCCTTTACAATCAGAGTGGTTTATTTTGTTGGAGGGGAGTGGTGTACTTGAATGATGGTCACAGAATGTCCCAGCACCTGCATTTTTGAATGCGTGAGTAATGGTACTCAGGGGAAAGAAAAGTGCATCAAATGTGTAATATATGTGTTGCTTTAACAGATTGGGAGGATTTTAGAAATACTACAGAAACAATGAATAAATGACACAGCCTGGATACATGAGGTGTATCAAAGTTGTAATGTCAGCTCTGGTGATAAAGCAATTGCAAGCAAGGAAGATGGGATAATACACATAAACATTCTATCTGTGGCTCACCCACTAGCTCAGTTCACTCAGTCTTTAAAAAGGCAACAGCTGCTGCTTGAATGTTTTGCTTTTTTGGGGTATAATTACCTTGGCTGCAAAACTGTACCAGATAAAGAGCAGAGAAAGAGTTAACTTCTGTATTGTCTTTTATTTCCAAGGTGAAGAGCCATCACTGCTGACATCCATATCTTTAGGTTCAAGAAACCTGTCCAGAATTTGAGTGATTAATGAGAAAGTGTCAGTTAATGACACATAACTTTCACATAAAGGGGAAAAGAATCTGATAAACTGATTGTGTTTTTTAAATAAAAGCTTTGTCTACAGCATTCATTCAGAAACTATTATCTACTGTCTTTTGACATCTTATGTGTGAAAACATTTTTGTACCTCAAAAAGCAACATAAAAAATGTTGTTACCACTATGCTGTAGTTGGCATATTTTTAATATTTTTTTATTTTCTAGATGAGGCTTATATTCCAGAATTAGATCTGTTTCCAAACTACATTAGCAAAGTACAAATATCAGCTTCAAGAAGTTATAGCTGAAACTTCCAATGTGAGTTGGTTTCTTCAACAAATGGTTGGAGATCCCTGTATTGGGGAGAACCTTAAATAGTAACAGATTTGATAGGAGTAAAAAATAAGACTATTAATGAGATGACACTCTTAAAAAGATATTTTTAGTGGAGAGAAACTAAGGCAATCAACACCTAGAAACTATTCTTTTTCCTGTTGAATTCTTATGGTAGTAAATGAACAGCATATTTAATTTCACAGGTGTCATGTGGCAAACAAAACCTGTCCAAAAAATCATATTTGGAATAATCAAATTTGCAGATGTTTGTCGCAGCATGATTTTGGTTTCTCTTCTCACCTTGGAGATTCTGGTAAGCACTTTTTCTTATAAGACTGAATGTAGCTCTACATTTTGATTCAACTAAAGGAGAAATTAAAAACAAAGAAGAAGAAATTAGTTGTGTCTTTTTCTGTATTGATAATATTACTCTCTATTACCTGTCTTTTGACATGTACTTGTTCTTGAAACATCTTAAAAGGTATGGATTTGCTGTCATTTCTTCATTTAAAACTGGGTGAGTGGGTAGACACAAAATTCTGGTAATAGTGCAACTTCTCTGCTATATTTCTAGATACATCTGAAGGATTCCATATTTGTGGACCAAACAAAGAACTGGATGAAGAAACCTGTCAATGTGTCTGCAAAGGAGGCATGAGGCCCTCAAGCTGTGGACCTCACAAAGAATTAGACAGATCATCGTGTCAGTGTATGTGCAAAAACAAACTTATCCCCGCTTCCTGTGGGCCCAATAAGGAATTTGATGAAGAAAAGTGCCAGTGTCTATGTAAAAAGACCTGTCCTAAACATCAACCTCTAAATCCTGCAAAATGCATCTGTGAATGTATAGAATCTCCCAATAAATGCTTCTTAAAAGGAAAAAGGTTCCACCACCAGACATGCAGGTAAAAATTCAGTCTTTAGTTCTTTCATTGTGTTTAAGGCATAAAATTCTGCGTTGTGACATTAGCTGGCTGTTGAATTACTTTGTAGTCTTAAGTAAACAGTAAGCCTGTCTTCAGTTTTATCTTCTGTGACTTTTATAAACTCTTAATAGGTAACTACTAGGCATAATAAGTATTTTAAAACATATTTAGTTTCTTGTACTCTTGCTACTACTACAGCATGTGATTTTTTTTTTCCTTTTCACAAAAATTAAGTGTAAGTTCAAGCTCCCTGTCTTCTATATTATTTAAAATCCTACTCTGTTTTTCCCAAGAACCAAATATTGCAATTTAAGTAACTCAAATATTCCTAGTTAGATTTCAGGCCTTAGTTCTGGAGATACCATCATTCATTTTCAATTCATAAATTTTGGAATCACCCAGCTCTGGGTGATTACTGTGAAAAGTGGACATATGTAACTATAAAACAAACTGCCTGCATCCATCATTTAAAATGAGATTTAGTCAGGAAGAAAACTGCAATTTCTTTATATGTCACAGGACCTTTTCCTTCCATGACTGCTACACCCATAACATTAACAGTCTATATATAAAAATGTGGATGAATTTAGGTTCTGAGAAACAAAAAGTGTTATTTCTGCTTTGTATATTATGTGACAAAAGTTATCCTGTAAAGTCAGTTCTCTTGTAGATTTCGTAAAGCAGAAACAATGCAGTTTGGAGCAGAAAGATCACTTATTTTTTAAAAAGGGTGAATTATTTCTATTATATCAATGACAAATAACTTTTAAGGCACTGGAAATGGAAAATAGCAAATTGGGACATTTAAATGTATAGCAATATGTTGCATATCAAAAAATCTGTAATTTTTAATATAACATGTAATTAGTTGGAGTAAATATATTGCCACATATACATTAGTACATCTTAATGAAAAAATGTCTATTATTAGGAATGACACGTGTTGAAGTCACTAAAATAGGGGAAAATATTAATAGTAGTGGGCATTACCTATTTTTCTACATTTGGCCTTTTGACTGAAATATTAGAGTTTTTAAACATCAGAAATTATTTCTTCTCTATCATTCAACTCATATAATTTCAATTTTATGTTTGCAGAGGAAAAGAAGCCAACCTGATTACATAAGCTTTCCATATTGCAAGGCCTTGGCACTACTCTAGTGTGCACTTCCAGCAACAAACATAAACCATGTGCACTTTAAAAGAACATTCATAACTGGAGAAGTCAGGCATTTAAAAAGCTAAGAAATACCATAAAAAATATGTATTTTTTTAAAGACTTAGTATTTGAAAGAGGAAATTGAGTTCAGCTTTTCTCTGTTATGTTGTGATTGAATATAATACAGTTTGAATTGCTTTCTCACTTCTGAGGACAGTGTGATATAGGATGCTTTTAGCTGTTTCTCTTTTCTAAGCAGTTTATGTGCAGAAGGAAATATTTGTATATGGTATTACTCTATACATCTACAACCAATAGTCCTGTAGAGGTTAGCACTGTCAAGGAAAATAGAAGATGCAATCTCTATTGCTTAAGAAAGGATTTAGCATAGGTTTCTCGCGTTTTGACTCTGTCCAGCACAACCTAACTCAAAAAGGAATAAAAATTCTGTAACATCCTGTTTGAAAGATCCCTTGCTGTCCTGAGACCACATAAATACAGGTACCACTCTATAACTTTGTACAAGATGCCTGACCCCTAGACATGAGCAGAATCCTGTAGCTGTGACCTAGACAGCTCCCTGTGGAGAGAAGTGATATTTGTAGCTTCTGGTTTTGAAGCACCAATACTTTTATGCACTGTATCTAAAATCCCTCTGCCTAGGGTTATGCCCTGTTTTAGAGAAAAGGAATAAAAAGTAATCTACAAATACAAAGAACAGGATGAAAGATAAAAAGGGGTAAAAAAAAAAAGCATACTGACTTTAATGCTGATGATGCTGTTAGCAGCTCTAGAAGTAGCATTTCTATTTGTTTCATCTGTGGTGTTGTTAAGACTGCCCCAATGACAGCCTGGGCATTCTGCAGCAAAAAATCGCAATTACTGACCACAAAGAGAAAGTTGCTGCTGACTTGCCCAGAACTGTGTATAGTGACTGAACATCTGTCTTAGTTCCAGCATGCTCAGATTATCCTCATCAAAGCAGACATCTGTCACATGAAAACGCCCTGTAAACAGCATTCAACCCAAATCTTTTGAAAGACCAGGTCTATTGTTCAGCAGTTTCCTAAGGAAACCACATTTATGTAGTTACAATGACTCTACCACTATTCACCCTGTGCTGTCACCTCAAAAATTTATTTTTGGTCAGTTTTGGTAGGGCCAGATAACTAGGCACTTCAGCTGCAAAGCATTTTAGAGGAGGACAGGGACTTTCTTGTTCAGTTGAAAAGTCTCAAATAAGGATAAGACTGCAGTAACCCGACCTTAACTGCTGCTAGACATAAAATCACATGGGAGAGATGGTATATAGCACTCTCCTCTGTAAGCTGAAGTTCACAAGGATGCATGAATTCTAAACAAACTGAACTCCTCATGACTCTCCTCCTTAATGACTGTGTGACTGCTTTACATTGTGTACAATCATAGGTGTGTGGAAGAGTTTGGCTTTACCTCTTTTTCTTCTTATTTCATTTTACTGTCATTCAGTACATGAAATGGTCTAAACTTGCATTACAGAGATAGGCAAAAAGGTGAGTTCAGTGTTTTATCCATTGCATATCTGTGCAGTACCTTTTTCCCAGAACAAAACTACTGCTGGCTGCCTGTTTGCTCACAGTTAGATCCTTTTGCAAACCATTTTGTTGCTTTTTACCACCATTTCCAAACTTTTTGTGGAAAAGATGAATAGAGCTCTGAGAGATTCCCATGAGCTGCTACACTGATTTCAAGTATCTATATTAAGTGGCACAAAATAATGTTTCTCCCTTAATTACAGAGACCACACTGGTGAACTAATCTATGATAAATGACATTGAAAACACTGAACAAGATGTGACTAGTTAATAAATGTCATGTTTGCAGTCTTCCTCATTCCTTATTGTTTTCCTCATAGCCAGTTTCATTGATTGAACTAGCTGGAGTGAATTAATGTAATTGTAATGCAGACCTTATATCATAAACAAATTATTGTGAAGTAGTAACTTTGTATCCAAAGCAAGCATCAAGCATTCTAACTTATCGGCAACTTATTTAAGTACAAGTTTTAAGTATAACTGTGATGAAATTCAAAACATATACTTTTGTCTTTTGACTCATTGCCAAGGTAGGAAAAAAACCCCATACTTGTACTTTGTCTCCATTATACACCAGAAAGTATTCAGCATTGTTATTGTAGGGTTATTTTAGGTCAAGTTCTTGTTTTAATAGAAAAGTAAAATAGGAAAAGGAAGGGTTCAGGGACAACCACAGATACTATCTTTGTATAAAGTTCTATTTTTCAGTCAAGGAATTGATGGAAGAAAAATTCTGCTACTTCTTAGGTATATGTTATTTGTGGTTCAATGTTCTATTTCTGTCAAACTTATTCAATCTGATTTTTCTTCAGAATGCATACAGATACAATATGAAGTGTAGATACATTCCCACTCGGAGACTGGCTATGGGAATTTGCAGCTTGAAAGGAAGTATGGTTTCATTTTCAAGATCAGAGTCATAGTGTAATATATGTAGACAAATCTCTCAGGCTTATTGCAATAATGAATAAGGTGAGAAACAGTCTTAGGATAGTAGATGATAGATTTGATTATTACGTGATTCTGGATCATCACCTCAAACTTGCAGCATGCAGTAGGTCATAACAAGCCAATTTGAGTACAGAAAAATATCCTATTTTCAAAATTAAATTTAAGGAAACACTACTCAAGATTAGTGTGACTACAACCAGGCAGTGTGGTAAAAAATACTCGTGTATCTGTGACAATAGAATAATTTCTCTTCAGTAGAATTCATTATTCTTTCAGTGTCTTTTGTGAAGAGTAGTCCAACTAAATTAGCGACAAGAACATAAAAAGAGGTTAAAATATATGTATTTGTGGGAATTAAATATCACATTGAGAAATGGCAATGTAAAGGCTCACAGATTTCTACTCTGGGCAAATATAAATGATCACATTATATTAATGTCCACTTTTTTCATTTCTTTAGCTGTTACAGACCACCATGTACAGTCCGAACGAAACGCTGTGATGCTGGATTTTACTTTAGTGAAGAAGTGTGCCGCTGTGTACCCACATATTGGAAAAGACCACTTATGAATTAGTGAAGAGATCACTACTTGCTATGTTGGTGTACATTTTTCCATTAGAACAAAAGAAGAACAGAAACTTTGCTAATATTTGGAATTAAATGTTCACCAGAGACCCTGTGGGGCTTTCAGAGACAGACTCATGCTTTTCTCAAGATGTGGAAAGCAAATGTAGAAGATAACTGGGGTTCATGTTTTGTAAAGAACTCGATAAGAACTTATTTTCTGCCAATGACCAAACAGCCTAGGTTCTCCTTCTTGTGATTTTTTAAAGAGATAATGACTATATAATTTATTTCCACTAAAACCATCGTGCAGCATTTCTGTTTATAGCAGTAACAATTGTTAAAGCTCACTGTGATCAATATTTTTATATCATATGTTTAAAATAAAATGGAAATTGTATTATATAATAGTGAGAATGTTTAATCATCTGGCTGAAAAGGAACTCGGATTCAGCTTTATTTTCAGGGGTTTTAACAGTGGAAAAAGTTATTAGGAGAAAGCACTTTTAGGAAAGGAAGACTACAGACATTGCCTCATACCTTTTGTGTATGTAATTTGAAATAGAAACAGTTGTACTGGAATTTTCATGACCCAGTGATATTTCTGCCTCTAGAATGAAACTAGCAAAGCAAATACAATTAATAACTAATGAAAACATTGGAGATCCTGTACATTGCTTAAGGATAAGGACTATGTTTAAAGCACAGCAGCAACTACTCGCATTCCAATATATTCACCTTCTCTTTTATTTCTTGCTAATATTCCTAAGGAATAAGATAAAGTAATGCCTATTCAAGGTTGTTAGTGTGAAAGTGGAAATAACAACACTGCGTTTTGTTTAGTATAACAAACTACAGTGTAAATTTTACAGCTAAATCATTCAAAATGCTTTGATGCGCTTTACTCTCTCATATAGCTGGTCAGATATCTTGATCAATGTATGTGTATGCAAAAATATTTTGAAGGGAAAAAAAAGCAATTTATATTCCAATAGGGAGATAAAAGAACTTATACCAGTCTGGTGTGGATTGACATAGTCTCTACATTAAAAAATTCTCTTTTTTTAAGAAAATGTGAAATCAAATATCTGCAATTATAAAAAGAAGTAAGATTTTTATCTTGCATGGAAAGAGCAATCTATTCAAAATTAAAATATATCAGAAACTGTTAAAATATGGAAAATTTGTTGGATGCAGAAGTGGAACAAGCAAAGCTGCAAAGCAAGATTTTTGTGAAAGGAGTAGGCAGATCAGTAAAAATAATTGTAGACATCAGTGCTGGTTCTAAGCAGCTATTCTTAAAAGAGTTATTAATGAAGTAGTATTATATCCTAGAAGGTTGGTTAGGAGAAGTTGCTTTTCTAGGTTCTTGATGTTTGGATATCATAGTTCCTTAAAGGAGTGAGAGTTGCTTTGAATTACTCAGTTTCCATCATGGGTTGAGGGAGTCTAACAGGATGAGAAACAGCACTTTCCACTGTATGCCTAGTATGCTCATTTTTCTTCCTCAGAGGATGGCTATTTGTTATCCAAATAGGCTAACAGAGTGAAGTTTAGGCATGCAAATACTGAGGAATGTCCTTATTACTATATTGCTTCAGGTAGAACTTTGGATGACAATTAACACTGATATACAACTTAAGCTAGTGCCTTTTGCAATCGGATATGTCTGTCACGTATTGGCCTCATAAGCCACCAGCGTGCCTGTAGCAAATGTGGATAGTGCCTTCCCAAATCTTCGTTCGCAAAGCCTGACCATGATGATACAACTTAAGCTAGTATAACAACCAACAATTCCCATCGGTTGGATTTGTAGTCATGCAAATCATCAGTGTCTAAATTGGCAATGTCAACATAATAGCAAGAGGCTAACGATCAAACTTTAATTCAGTACTTGTAAAAATCCAGGCATCCATGTCTGTAGGTCAGCTACCTGAAGGAAGCATAAAATACCTTAAGAAATCAATTGAAGAGCAAACTTCTATGAAGACTTGAGAAGAAATACTGTAGGTAAAGCTCCCAAAATAAGCTTTAAAATTTCTATCCCAGCTCAAACAGAAGAGAGGTAGTGGGGGGAAGAACAAACCAAATCTGGAATGAGGAAACATTGAAAACTTCTGGACATAAGTTATGCTAATCACTTAGTAAAACTGAGATTTAGAAAAACTAAATTCCTGACTTGTAAAAGTTACCACAAATCAAATTTATGTCTGAGCAAAGTGACTAGTTAACCATTCTTAAAGTTATGCAGATGCGTACAATAATACATGCAAGCAGTTGATAACATTTTACGATTATCAGGCTTTACAATTCTGCTTTCTGTGATAATAATGTTTTAAAAATGCCTTTTATACATCATGATTATTACCATTAGTATTGGATACAGACTCCCATTCTGTGTGATAAAATGTGATTCTGTTTATCTCCATACTGTCACAAAATAATCTGTATAACAGGTCTTCCTTGCATATATTATATAAAGTAGCTGATAGGTCTACACCATTTTCAGTTTTGATGTGTTATTTGATTGTGATCTTGAAATTTTCATCTTCACTTTATATCTTAATTTACTGTTCTTAAAATATCTAAAAATAGGCTATACAGCTTAAAAGAAGGTCTAACAAGATAGATGATAATTCTATATAGAAGTTATTCTGCACTAATTCTGAGTAAAAAGCTTTTATTGTTATTTGTCTAAAACCCCTGTACCTTGTACAAAACTTACAAGGTGGGTGGGAGAGGAAGAACGCATGTAACTGCAGTAAATCACATTTAATGGTAAACAGACTTATGCTTGCATTTCATCAGGAATTTACAACAGTTTCTGTACTCTTTCAATATTGTACTGTATGAAGACCATAAATTATGCAGAGTAAGCCCTCTCTACCTGTATTACCAGAAGGACATACTATTTACAGTGTGAGTATTGTTAGTCTGCTGACATGTTTGTTTAATTCATGTTGAATAAGTTCATAGTAAATCAGTTCTCTTACTTCTATTTGAAAGACCAGCCTGAAATCTTGCATATGTACTGTATCAACTTGAAAGGCTTAGTGTTAGGGTTGCTTTCAGTATTCTCATTTTCAGTCTTTAGATCTCAGTGACAACTCCAGATGCCCTTGAATTTTAACATCTCTCTCTCTCTGTGATTTTTTTTGAAGTATAACCAGATATCACATCTATGCCAAAAGACAGGAATGGAATCATTTATGTAAGCTCATCAAGAGATTATCCTGAGGAATAGGCTATGTTCTTTTAAATATTATTTATTTTATATTTAATTTAAGAATTTATTCTTTAAAGATTATGTAATTTATAAAATATTTAATTTTGCATTGTTTGGAGCTACAAAAGGTTGCTGTTTAGTAGAAAAGTTTAAAAGTGGTCAATGCAGAATTTTCAGAAATTTTTAATTTAGAAAATACAATATAGTAATAATTCTTAATATTATTGGATCTTTCTTGAAAAAAATTAAAGTAGTAGTTGATAATTTATTTAATAGCTTCCTTTTGTTCTTTTTCTGTTTTCATTTTGCATTACAGATAAAACTTCTGAGAAAGAACACAGGACAACCTTCTGATTGAGTGATGAAATAATAAGAACAAGTGGACCAGGTATTTAATTATTTAAAATTAATGAATATTACTAGCTAATAAGAACTAATAAAATTAGACCAGTTTAATACAGGTTTAAGACTCTAGATTGCATTAGAGTTCTTAAAAGCTCTGAATAGATAAAACATTTTTATAAAATACATAGCTGGACTCATCTATATTTTCATGTGCAAATGTTGTAATGAAATATGAACAGTAGAAAGCATTAAGAAGTCACCAATTTTACAATAAAAGTTTCTAAAATGTCACTAATTTATCATTAAAAAATTTATATTTTATCTGTAGTCTGAAGCTATGAATCAGGGACCTCACTTCATCTTGAGAATTATTGAAATACAAAGCATAGCACATTCTAGAAGAAAAAAATCTTAAAACACAATGCTTTACTCTTTTGTGTAAGCATTTCTTCTTCTGGAGAAAAACTACAGAAATCTCTATTAATTGTGTATTACCATTTATTCCCTCTTCTTCTGAGCAAGACCCTGCCATGAAAATTACATTTTTTTGTATTCAGATATTTCTCCTGAGTAAGGACATTCCTGGCAGACACTGACCTTTCAGCTGAGTTTCAGCAAATTTTTTATCCTTTTTCTACATTTATAATCAGCCATATGTGGTCATTGAACTCTTCCCCTTTGCCCCCTTTCTCAACTTAAATCAGTTTTCTTACATTTCTGGACCGTATCTCAGTCTCCCCATAAGATTATCTCTATTTCCCTATCAGCCTTTCTCACATATAACTGTTAGCTCTAACCCTTCCATTTCCCTTTTATATCCAAATTCTCACTAATAATAGCATTGTTTTCCTCTCTATTATCATTAAGACCTCTTTCTTCTCTTTACTTTAAATAATCATACCAACATAGGGATTAATCTGGTTTTAGATACTTAGTGATTCTCTTCACTACACATACATGAAAGCAAGTGTTAAAAAGAAGTCTGAAATTTCACATTGCAAGTTTGCAAATCCAATCTGTCCAAGCAAATAATAATAATAAAAAGTATTGCAATTGAGACCTCCCCAAAGCAAACTTGCAAAAAAAATAACGGATGTATAAATCACTGTAGCATATTACACTTGAAACATAAAAGACAGTTTATAATATCAGTCTCCCTGTAAAAAAACCCAGGTTTTAATTCTGCTGGATGCTGGATACTATCCCTACTGTCTAAAAGTACACTCACAAGAATGTCCAGCGCAGCATTTTGGAACTAAATTCAGGCTTGCAATTGAGTTTATTTTCACGTCATTCATGCTATGAGAGAAAAAAATCAAGGGCCAGTAAGGAGACTTTTCAAACATACCACAAAACCCTTGAGTTTTGTGCTCTTCCTTAGCAGAGACATACCCTCCTCCATGCTTTACAGCACTGTGAACACAGATGAAATGGGGTTACAGGATCCTTCCCAGTGAAATGCCATATCAAACTGTAATTAAACCTTAAGCATACTTGCCATTCAGTACTTAAAACTTCCTTATCACTGAAGAATCTGTAAAGAGTAAAATGAAAGGACATATAAAGGAAAAATATACAAGGGATCAGATCCACAATTGACTTTATAGTCATTGTGAGGGGTACCTAAATCCTAGACTTAGACCATAAAAATCCTCTTTCATTTGCCCTCAATTCATAGGAGACAATTTCCAAAGTAATTTTCCCTAATCTGAAGATGCAAATGCCTATAATGCAGCATATGCCTAAACTCCATCAAGATATGTGAATTGACGACTTCTCTATTTTACCTGTGAAGTAAAATTCAGTAGGTATTCAGAATGTTCTGACAGCTTTATGCCCAAAAGCCATGGAAAATGTTCCCTCCCTTCTGTTTAAGTTATTATACTTTGTATGAGATAAGTAAATAAAATTCAGGTCAGAAATGGAGAACCTAATATGCTAAACTGTTGTTGATTTTAAAACAGAATACCGAGATTCTGGTACTACTTATTTGATTATCATGTTCTTGTAGTAAGCCAGCATATGTTAGAGAAGGGACTGATGAATTGTCGTGGATGGCATCACCTGCTTTAAGTTGGTAGTTCTGGAGATTTGACAAGTATGAGAATAAATTCATTTAATCTAGTTAATGTGACTGTCTCCCATTTCTCACTTCTGTTGTGCCTCTCTTAGGTGGGATATGACATGCTTTACTCTCTTTGACTAAGAAAGTCTTACTGTTGGACTAAAGTCAGGGTAAGTTCCAATTTAATATCAGTAGTATAACCCATATTCTTCTTTGACTGATTGTGATAACCTCCCTCTTGAGTCCTGCTGGTCACTGCATTCCAGGCAGTAAAACTCCCACAAGCCAGTGCAGAACTCAGTGGTACAGCTGCCATTATATGGGCATTTTGGCCAGTTTGCATGATGAACATCTGTCTATCCCTAATGTTACAAAAGATGCTTTCTTGAAATTACTTTCATAAGGATTTATACATGCTTATCCAAACCAAGAGCACATATTATTGTAGAGCTTGATGTGAAAGAACTAAACACTCATATTCGTAGTGCTTATCAGCAATACCATGTCATTGACACCCTACATTCTGGTGGGATGTTTTGAGGTGATGAGTGTTTAACTTGTTTCTCCAAATGTGAGAAAAAGGTTAAAAATCTATCACACTTCTCATGACACATTTTGAATACTAAAGAAAATACAGGATTCTAAGGCAAGGGGAAAGGTTTGGAGTCACTAAAGCTAGTAATTCTCTTAGTGGGCTTTGAAAACACTTAACCTGAATTTATGTAAGGTATGAGAGATGTACACATCGACCATGAATCAATTTTATGCCTTATTTGGATTGTTTCTGATTAAGCTGTCTGCTAAATGAGAAAACTTTTAATTTGATATTTTCTTGCAATAAAAAGTCATGATTGCAGCAATCAGATAATGTTCTGCTTGCCTACCTTGAAGACCCAAATGTGCACTGATAATTAAAACTCACATATCAAAATTTATCTTAGCAGAAACAAAAAAAAAATAATAAAATTTAATTTCCTTTTAAAGACAAAAGAGTTCTGGAATTGATGAGAGCTGATCCATTCTGTCTCTAAAGCTTTGAAAGTATGTTCTTCCCATTTTGAGAATGTTAATTTACGCTTATTACTTGGATTTCGTACATTATATTTTGTCTTTACACCAAAGAAAACAAAATACCCTTACTGCACTTAAAAAATTATGCCACACTAGCTAATTTCTTTCTTTAGATAGAATTCTGATGCATTCTGTTTTGCTTCCAGATTACACCAAGTAGTATGCATTTCTAACAGACACCTGTTTTCCCTCTCATCCCAAAATATAGAAAAAACAATGTTAAACATATCCTCTAGAGACGCTTAACTACAAATTCAACAGAGAACACTGCAAGGTTTTCATATAACTCCATAAAATCATTGTTCCAGTGCTATTTATATATTTTGTACTTTTTCAGCAGACAAAAAAATACATTCAATGACAGGTGCATTGAAAAATAAAAACAATAGAAATGGCTTTCTCTTGCATAAGTCTTTTCAGACCAGCATTAGGCTGTTTTCTAAACAGTTCACAAACAGTAGACTGATTCCCACGACAAGGTGCAAACAAGATATAGTCTCTGTTTCAATTCACTGCAAACTTGGATGAGAATTAAAAGTACTTGAAGTTCTGCCCAACCAGGTACTAAGGTCTGGTATCAAGCACTAGTGAGATAGGCTGTCTTAGAGTATCATGCATAATATACAGTTTATATGTAGTCTGATCCCCTACAATATTAACAATACAGCGTCTGGCCAACTTTTTGATCTATTTCTGTCCTTTTCCAGCAGCTGCTGTTTCTGGGAGGAATGCCAGTATCTTCACAAGAGCAGAAGAATGGTGTCCTTTCTGGCTATTAGGTTCATGCATCCTTCTATGTGGAATCTCATAACCCCACATCTATACACATCCTGCTAAGGAGCAAAGTTCTTCCTTTTTTACAAAGCTCTACAGATAGTTTACCTTTAAGGCCTAACTCAAATGCCTGAGTAGTTTCCTACACAATCTCAAATGACTACAAGACAGTACCCACATCCAACAAAATCTGTATCGTGGTCCAGAAAGGAGGAATTGTCTTTGAAAGACAAGAGAGACGGTGAGAAAAATGATGCATAAGAATCCTGGACCAGTACTAAAACCATCTGTTCCCATTCCCCCAAGAGTGCTGGAATTGTAGCTAGGTAAAGCTATTTCTTTTTCCTTCCCATGGCTTTCTATTGAAATCAATTATTTCAGTGCATTTTTACAGAGAAGTAGGTCTTAGATTCTAACACGCTTTAAATGGGAAGTGGTTCATGGGCAGAATTTAGGTACTAACATCCAAGTCAAGCAAAAAGGTGCTTAATTCCTCTCTTGACCTGTGACTAAAAAATTACATAATTATGAGAGCTCACCAAGAAGTGTACTATAGTTTATGATCTTATTTATTGTTTAAAAAAATTAAATTAATTTTCCCTTTAAAGTGTAGAATGTAACAGTTTTTTCTAAATATTTACAACAGCTACTAAATTCCTACAGATATAGTTAATACAGATATACAGATAACCAAGAAAGCTTGTGTAATATATCTCTGCAGATATAAATACATGTATAAATACATATATATATAAATATATAAATAAATATATAAATATATATATACATATATAGAGGTAATTAGAGTAAAAAATAAATCGTGTGTTTGAATTTGAAGTGAAATCTGGGGGAAAACTCGTTTTAAACTTCTTTCTATTTTGCTAGATAAAATACAATTACAGGTAGAAACAAAAATAAGATTGCCAAGAATAGAAGGTGTCTATTTCCAAATATCATAATTTTCTTACAATGAAGATGACAAGATTTTACTGTGAGCAAAGAAATAAGCCCTCTGCTAGCTCTTTGAGATTACCAATCTTGCTCTGACAATGCAGAAATTTGCAAACCCTTTCAAGTGTGACCCATGATGCACCATCTGCTCAGAACATATTATGAATGATTTAGAGAAAATGTATGTTTTACCTACAATTATACAGTAGTTAAGAAACCTATCCATTTAGCTTTTTGTAAGAAAGTATATTTTATGTAATATTACCTGAAGTAAATTTTATGTAAAATGGTACATCAAGTCTCTCAGAGTTCTCTCACCTTTTAGCTTCACCACTTAATTTCTTGCACAATCACTGTAGAGTGACTTCTCTCCCACCAGTGCCTCTGTAGTCACTAGTTGATTCCCAGTGTAAGATAATCTCCCACTTCCAAAACTGAGACTGACTGCTGTTTGCTCCTGGATCATACCACAGCCAGTGTCGTGGCATCCAGCCTCTTGTTTATTTCTTCTGCCTTCCATAGTAGTAAGCTGTCATGAAGGCCTGAATATGACATCACATAGTTTCTTTTCTAATAAAGCAGCTAGACTCAAAATTGAGCCTAGTCATTCAGAAATTCAGATATTGCAGACGTTGCAGGAACTGATATTTAGCAGTTCCTCTAATTTTACTCACCTTCTCTTTCATAAGCTGTGATAATGAAAATATCAATCTTGATGGTGTTCTACATACAACTTCTCCCACTTTGAATTAGTTATTGAGCAGTGGAGATCAAACTCTTAGTTCTGGTCTCTATAGCAATCTTCTAAATTCATGCAGGTGGATGAGATAAAGTGCTCTGCTGAATGTAGTTTTACTGTTCCAATTTCATTTTAGGTACTAGGTGCACGTTAGTTAAAACTGAAGACTAAAAGTTATGGCACTGGGCATAAAATTCTCATTGAAGTGGCTGAATTATGATTATATAGGGCATAGATAGATTGACAAGAAGTAATTTCGGTTCTTTTAAGCAAATGGCAGTCTGTACAAATATGATTATTTGATTCCTTGGACACAGACACTTTCACAAACATTTCAGACAGTTTGGCACAGAAGAGAAATTATACCCAGCTGTGGCCAAAAGTGCTTAAGAAAACAAGGTTGTACTAAATCTCAGATGTTTAGCAATTCTGTTGAACTATCCAGAAGAGCCGATTTTATTCATCCTGTTTTATTAACTAAGAGACAATATTTTATTACTGACCAGAATACATTATTAGTACTGAATAGTTAGTAAAATATGAGAAGGTGATTTCTGAGACTAAGCATAGCTATTGTCTTGTTTCAGGCACCAAGCATACCTGGACATTTGCGGGCTGCCAGGTATAAATGCAAGGTCTACAGAACAGCAGTATTCACTTGGACATCTAAGATGCAAATGGACCTCTCTCTCTCTCTAAGCACTTGGATTGAATACTGAACTTCTACTTCCTCAGTTAATCATTTTTATTACTTGAATTTCTTTTCTTGTTTCTGTCTGAGATGTTTAATTTTTGAATTACATTATTTAGCGAATTTAGATATTACTAAAATTTTACTATGTTCTTATCCTAAGCGGGTTCACTACATAGTTTTAATATTGTTTTATCTCCATAGTACTTGCTAAGTTTTCAAATAGTTGAGTAGTCTAAGTAACCACATTCTTCTTTTTATGCATATACAAAGACACCTCTTGTGAGAAAAACTTACTCTAAGACTATTGTTATACAACTTTCATATTAACAACCTTCCCTGCAACTGACTCCAGTCTCACAAATGAAAACATTTTGAATAAATTCAGTCATTGTCTGTGTCTCTTTTTACACCTGAGAAGGCATTTGATCTCCTACAGTATGTAGCACTTGCTATTGTTCTAAAAATTGCCTCTATTGGCTCCTCTGTGTGAACGGTTTCTGAAAATTATGATGGTTGAATTTGTGGTCAAGTCAGTCATTCTAAGAAAGCTCATAAAATCCCTAGAGACTTGCAAAGAACAATCAATCCCTACATCAGGAAGCAAAAAGGAAGTGCCAACCCAGTGGAAATTTATTTATGACATGTTTGAAGTCTATTGAAATAACAAAACACTGGACTTAGCAGTCATACAGGGCATATACAAAGGCAATGGAATTAAATCTTATTTTCAACAAGGGAATGGTATTCAAGTATCTATTAAAAATTGATTTTTTTTTTAAAGTCACTACCATAAAAGTTAAAAGAAAAAGGTAAATGTGTTCATATAAATTACATTAGGCATCAGTGAGAAAATTTCCTTGAACTACATCCTTGCAGGAAATTGGCTAAATGTAGCCCCTTGGCGCCAAACAGGTCATGAGCTCTGCGTCAGTGCTAATTCATTTTTTCTGACCACATTGTGTTGAGAAATCCTGATTCCCAGTGCTGAAGTATAAAACAAGACTTTGAACTCTATGGGATTATGCATGTGATACGCCAAACACTAATGAAATCCATTTCCTTAAATCTGTAAGGAGTGTGTTTACACAGAAAATGTTCAAATATCAGTAATTATTTTCTTTTGCAAAAGTGTCACACAATTTTCCCTTCTGAAATGAAAATTGCATTTGGAATGAAAATACCTAATACAAGCAATTTTCTCTTTCATTTTTGTGTGTTTGTTTGTTTCTGAAGATATAACCCAAACTAAAACATTCATAAAGCAAAAATAACCTGTAACTACCTTTTGAAATTGTTTCAGTGGCAAGCAGATATTCAGCAGAAAAAAAAAAAAGCTAATTCTTATTTACAAGAAGAGTACAAAAATAATCTAATCCAAGTGTGAGCACGATAGAGACCAAAACTACCCACCCAGCAGGCTTTACCTCCAAGTCAAAGTTACATTTTAAGCCCTAACTTCTGCTAAATAGAGCACAACCTTGAATGTAAGTCCTCAGATGTTGAAAAATGTATAGATAAAGATACCTCAGGAATTAAACACCATTAAAAATCTGCAAATTGTGTTGTCCAGATAGATCAGTAGACAAGTAAATGCAACAAAGAAAGAATATGGTAAAATATTCTCAAGAGGTTCATCATGCTTACAGCACAAATCCCTCAACAGGCAAACTGCAGCACTCTACTAGCATTGACTCTGAGTATGCCAAGCTTTAGGTTAGATAGCATATGTTGCTATATAAATTAGGGATAATTCTGGAGTGTTTCACTTTGGAGAGAAAAGATAATATTCTTTTCACTAAATATGCAACTACTGAGTATGTATAAAAAACAGAAATGGACAGAATTCAGGACACTGTAAACCTGCTTTACAGATTTTCAAAATTTTTCAGACCATCCTTGAAGCTTATCTTCTGCTTCACCTGCTCCATGCATCGGTGTTCATTATTCGTCTGGCCAGAGCTGTGCTGAACTACTTCTGATCTATGCTCAGTTTCCTCTATAAAAGAGCATGCCACAAGCAGCCCTAAACGAGTTACGAGAGTCAGTTTAGCTCTGTCCTGAAGGTAGAGAGCTTTGGAGGGTCACACTTATAATGGCATACCAGGCATACTCCTCCTTTATCCACTACTACCCATAAAGCGGCTTTCTGAAATGACTTCTGCAGAATTTGGAAAAAAGATGGCTTAAGCAGAAGATCACAAAGAGATTTCAATTAGGCTAGTGCTAAAATTTCCTAGTACTAAAATGCTGCAGTGGGGTATACATTAGGACACCCAGGAGTTCTAAGGGTTAGGACATATATGAATCATCACCAAGTGGGAGGGTCAGTCTCACCAAACAGATATAAACTATCAAAGTTATTTTAGGAGGACAAAGTACATTTCTTCACCCTGGCAGGAATTATAATTTTGGGTGATATAAGGGAACAAGTTGGCTGCTAATCACATACAGGAGGTGATCTCTTTCTCTCCCTTGTGTGGTACTTACACACTGACAGGCAAATATTACTTGTCAAAAATAAAATTTTAAAAAAATTGCAGGCATGCCAGCTTTTAGTTAAAACATTACAAAAGCTTTTGTTGGCCAGTCTTCTAGCCTCTCCTTTCTCTGAATACAGTTGGTCAAGAGTAGCTAATATCTCTTGGGGGAAAAATGCTCTAATAAAATTTGTCTCCAGTTGCTTGTGAAAAAGCAGTAGTAGTTCAGAGCTGTTGGCTCTTTTCCACAGTGCTACTTGAAACAGAAGTTAAATTCTGCCTTTGGAAAGCAGATTTTCTTCAAGCTCTCCGGAGAACAAGAGTTTCTCGATGTAGTCAGTGCAATAACTTCCATTAATAACGAGTGTTTACAATGCATTCATAACACAAACTTTAATCCCCCTCCAAGCCTCATTGATTAGTTCCTGCAAGCAAGAAGTCATTTACTATTATCTTTCATCCATTATTAGTCCAAAAATGACATTTAGGAGACATCAGGTTACAGTAGTAAAGGCAAAGCTAGCTGTTTATATATCCGTATAGAGAATTACTTAGGCTGGAAAAGACTTCTAAGATCATCAAGTCCAACCATTAACCCAGAACTGCAACCCCAAAAAAAAAAAGCTGTAAAACATTCCACTACTCCACAGCAAGTTTACCGTGTTTATTGCAAAATAAAAATGACAATGACTGCAGCCTGCACAGGAGGTGTGTGCTTTATGCTTGAACTGAGTTAGGAACATTAAAAAATAACTTCTAATTCTGGTAATGTGATCAGGTGTCTTATCAAAGGTTACATTGCTTTAGGAAATATATAATTGAAAAATGCAAATTGTACTTTATTCTACTTTATTTTCCTTTACTTCTCATCTTATTTTCTCAATAGTTGCTACCAGATTGAAATGTCAAAACTCTTGAGAGCACCTATCCAATTTCCACTCATAATTCATTTTGATTATGTTACATACTGAGCTTTTTTACCATCATTAAGGAAGTGTTTTCCTTTGCCACATGTCCATAGTCATTAGCCATCTGGCATTTGCAAATTTTTTAGTATCACTGTTTAAAAGTGAATCAAACTACTACTCTTATTTGGGGCCAATACAGGTTACCTAATGCAAACAGATTTTTTTTCTCATTTATATATCTAAAGGATCTTTTTGTTTATTTGTTTTAATTTCACTTCAGCTTAACTTCTGGCAATTCTAACCTCTTCCTACTTTCTTTGACCTACAAGAAGATAAAGCTCTCTTTCATGCTGTGTTTAGGGCGGGAGCAAAGAGGTTCTTTCTCAGGTCACTATTCATCCAGGTGAGGCTGGAGACCTTTCTTTCAAGGATGAGGTTTTTGGGGTGTTTTACATTTAGAATTACGATTCTTTTTTTCATTCAAGTCCTTGACCTATTTAGTTCAAGGTAATTAAATCAGTGTATATTGGAAACAAAATTCTCTTAAAACATCCTTTTGCTTTCATGCTTACATTTTCTACTGATATTTTTTGTCTGTTTTAGCATCTGGAAATATTTTTGAAGAACACATACTTAATTCTTCTAATTTCTTGCTATATATTGAATATGTATGTATATATGTATTGGATTTTATCATAAACTAAATAAATATTTTATAAATATAAGCATTATTAGACATATCCACATCCACACACTGAAGAAATAACATATACATACACATATTGTAAGGGGAATTTAGGCATGCATAAGTACTGCATTGCAGCTCTCCACAAATTCAGACTAAGTTTTGATCCCCCAGACTTACAGTATAATGTTTATTGTCCTTTAAGTCATATATACAATTCTGAAACCTAAGCATAATGTCCCTCTTCAAGTTAATGCCTGTACACAAGGGCTGCCACACGCGGATATAGTAGGTCAGACAAAACGCACATTAGGTGTTGTCCCACATCCCGAGGATGTTATTTGATGTGTCAACATTACAGTTTTTCTTTTTATTAGTCCCTGGAGTTGCACTAATTTTGACAGCTGCTAAACTCATTTTCCCTCATTTTAATTGCTCTAAGACAATCATCATAAAGGGACAAATCCTGCTTGTCTTCGCAAAGGAGGAAGGCTTTGCATAAGCCTTTTAAGATGTGATGAAAGCAAAATGATTGTTAAGACTTTATGGTTTGTTTGGGTTTTTCTTTCCATTCAAAGCAAGGCAAAGTACCCAAGCAATGATCTTTGTTCCTCTTTTTCCCTCCTCTCAACATTAAGATGGAAACTACCTAAGTGCTGACCTTTAAAATACATATTCTGACTTTTTAAACTAAGGATAGGCTAATAAGCATTTGTTTAATTAAACAGCTTCTGAAGCCACTTACAGAATCAGATCACTAATGTAAGTGTTTAAAGAAATCTCTTCTGAGGCAATCTCTTACCCTTAAAATTTAATTTATAATTAAATTGAATATGAAAATGAATATATTTTTAAAATGGAAATAGGAGCAATGTTTTATGCCGCTGCTTCTCCAAAGTATGCATCATCTTGGCTCTTCCTTATACCTGATACGTACTGATAGATGTTGGATAAGCCCCCAAAAGAATATAAAAATCCCAACAGTAGACCTTTTGTTTTGAAAGTGGATAAAATGAGAAGAGCAGGAAAAATTACCTCAAAGGATACTGTCGCTGCAAGAAAAGGAACAGTTCATTTAGCCAAGAAGACTTGTGATATACATTTCAAAGGGAGAACTGAAGAAGTTCATCCTTCCAGAGGATCTACCATCCTTTCAGATAAAGCAGCAAGTAAGGACTGTTGTCTAAAATGTGGTTAATGAAATTAAGCATTTGAACTACTACCATAAGCTAAGCTATATACTGCTTGACATTAATTTCTTTCAGGTAGAGAATTCTTTTGAATTATTATCTAGAAGCAAGTCTAGAAGTGATTTTCAAAGGCCAGAATCTAAAGATATTGTATATGCTGTCAGAAATATTAGTAACTCCTCTCCTTTTCACCCCATGGACATGTTCAAAATACTGATATTCACATGTGAATTCAACCATCAGGCTGGTTTCACAGAAATTGCAATCATACTTATAACTGGTCCTACATGTTTTATTTCTCATCGTACACTGATTTGATTGGTAATAAATTAAACTGATTTCCCCAAGTCAAGTCTGTTTTCTCCATGACGGTAACTGCTAAGTGATCTCTCCCTGCTCTTATGTCGACCCATGAGCTTTCTGTTATATTTTCTCTCCACTGTCCAACTCAAAAAGGGAGCAATAAAGCGGCTTTGGTGGGCACCTGGCGTCCAGCCAGGGTCAACCAACCACACACATTTATTTGCAGTAAGTGAACTTTATATGCTTCCTAAACTCTAAGAAATACATCAAGTTCCCTTCTTTGGTTTGTAGCAAAATGTTCTTTGAGAAAGAAAGAATCTCAAAAAGCTAGTCAGAGGGGAGAAATTAAACACGATAAATCTCCCAAATCTTTGCTTGTACATATTCTACTGAGTAAAGACAGTAAGTGCAATTATTATTTAAAGTTTCCCTGTAGAGAGGAGGAAGGAGTTACAAAAATTATGGCCAAAAGGTTATGTGTGGCAATACTGGTTGGGCACAGACTGATGAGAAATGCTGTTCAGCTCTGAAAAAAAGCTGATTTATTTTTTTTTTATTTAGTTGAAGATACTTATCAAAACTTCCATAAATTGTCATTTTGCCTATGAACTAAATTCTGTTTTCAGTTACATGCTGATTCAAGGTAGTGTCACTAAACAGCAATGTGAAGAAGTTATCTGCAGATGACAGGCTCATGCCAACAGCACAATGGGGTTAACAGGAATGGATACCTACTACATGGGTT